GCCCCGACGGCGCGCGGCACACGGCCCGCGACTTGTCCCTCTGGGGCCCTGCGAGGCCGGGCGCCTACCTCCTGCCCGGACACGGCGACGGATCTTGCGAGTGAACCGAGTAGCTGTGTCCTTGTCCATTGTCTCTCTTGAGGCCCGCGGCCCGATCGGGCAAGGGAGGGTGGATGGCTGAGGCCCGGGACTAGACTGGCCGGCCGAGGCTGCGCACCTCCCCAGCGGGTGTTGAGCCTGGGCCAGGCCTGGACTGTGGATTTCACGTACGGAAGGATACTGGCCCCTGTTTACAACAGGTTTTCATTCCTTTTTTAAAAAGGATTGTTTTTGCAGTTTTAGAATGCTGGTTTGAAATGTGCAGTATGGCCAATTCAGAGAAAATGATCCTTTGGGCATTTTGACATAGTAGAAAAAACGCTTGTAAAGGACGTTTATCTACTACTATTAACTATTATATCTACTACTGATTCATCTCAGCCAAGTTTCTGAGACCCTCGTTTTCCTGGGTCCTTCTTAAGGAGAACTTTGTCCCTGTGGCTGAGTTTTGAATGTGAGAGAGGGCTGGGGATTCTGCAGGTTTATGACCCTGTTCTTAGGAAACCCCTAGGAGGCCTTTCTGTACCTGTTCAGGAGTCATCAGCCCCACCTCGCTGGAGCCTTCTTCAGTACCTTCCTGACTTTTCCTACTCATCTGCATCTTCCCCTCAGCCATCTTGCGTGCTGAGAGCCAAGAAGCTCCCCAACAGGACAGATTTGCTCAGGGACTTTGTCAGCCCATCCTGTCACATTGTTAGGTCTCAAATCTTGGTAGCCAGGAAATGAAATAATATTTGCATATTACCTACAGCAATCCTCTACATCACCTCTAGATTGCCTATAATTCCTAATACAAGGGGAATGCTGTGTATATAGGTGTTATGCTCTTTTGTTTAGGGAATAATGATTGAATGTACATATTCAGTTCAGACCCAATTTTTTCTTTCCAAATGTTTTTACTCGGGTTTGTAGAATCCTTGGATGTGGAACCTGCAGATACAGAGAGTCAACTGCATTTCTCTACAGAATTTTTCTCTTGGAGAAGGAAGAAACATCAATTTTTTTGTGCACCCTGCCTTTACTATGTTAGGTGTTCACTCATGATTACTGAATGCATTAATTATTAATTAATTTATTTAATAAATAGTTATCAAACATCTTCTGTGGGTGAGGCACTTTATGAAGCTGGGAGCACAGTGGTAAATGACACACACCGTCATGGGACTTATGTTCACCTGGGAGAAAAACCATAAGACTGGTGGTGAGTTTAGATTATTAGCACTGTGAAGGAAGAGGCTAACAGGGACTTTTGGTCAGTGCAGCACTTGGGGAAAGGCTGTGTGAGATGGTGTTTAAGCGGAAACTATAAAGGTGAAGGGACTCAGGCCTGGAGAGGTGCATGGGAAAGCCCAGGAGAGGGTGAAGGAGAGCTGGATGCATCCCAGCCATGGAAGGTCATAATGGCTGGAGTGTAGCAAATGACGGAGTATGTCAGGTCAGAGGGGCTGGCTGGATATTAAGAAGTTCACATTTTTTCTAGGTGCGCTGGGGAGCTACTGAAGAGTTTTCAGCAGGGACTGAAGTAGTCTAGTTTGTGTTTCAAAAGATTACTGACCACACTGTGGAAAGTGTATTATGGAGGAGAAGGTTGAAGTGGGGAAACCAGGTGGGTGGAATTGTAGAGGCCCAGGTGAAAGGTGATGGGGCTTGGCAGTGGTGGTGGACAAAGAGAAAAGTGAATGGATTTGAGATAATTTCAGCAGTCAAACAAATGGGATTAGCTGTTGATGTAACCATGAAGTGGGCAAGGACACACTGCCACGATGTCAGCCTGTCTTTCCAGAAGGCTTTTAGCAATGCAAACCAGCATTGGGGCATTGTACATGTTCAGTGAGGACTTGCACACCATACTCCCAGCTAAGCTGAGGCCTGCAGGCCTTTTTTTCCAAGCTTCTGAAGAATGATGGAATGCAAGATGGAGGAAAAAAAGGCCATGTGCCTATTTCCTAGAGTATCCCTGAGCCAGAGCATGGCCTCGTCAACATCATCTTCTTAGCCAGCTGCTATAACAAAGTATAATAGACTGGTGGCTTAAACAGCAGAAATTTTCTTCCTCACAGTTCTGGAGGCTGGTAGTCCAAGATCACAGTGCCACTGATTTGGTTCCTGGTGGGGACTCTTCCTGGTTTGTGGTTGGCTGCCTTCTCATCATAGTCTTACACCGTGGAGAAAGATATCATTGCTTTTATGTCTCTGCTTTCAGGGCAACAGCCCTATTCCACCCACCATGTGTCTCCCAAAGGCTGCGCCTTCAAATGCCATCCATGATATTGGAGATTAGTGCTTCAACATGCAAATCTGGGGGAGACCCAAATATTCAGTCTGTAGCTATCACCGTTGTTGTCTTAGCCGCATCAGTACAGGACTCACATTATTTTTTTTTTTAACACAATACCTTTATTTTGTTTGTTTATTTATTTTTATGTGGTGTTGAGGATTGAAGCCAGGGCCTCGTGCATGCTAGGCAAGCACTCTACCGCTGAGCCACAACCCCAGCCCCCATTATTTGTTATGTGAAATACATTGCACTGGTTTTTTTTTTTTACAAAATATTGTCTCATCATTTTTCAAAATACTATTATGTAGACACTATTGTTCTAGATATTCTATTTTCTAGATGTGGAAATGAATTCTTTGGAAGGTGTTTTAAAAACCATGCCTAACATCAACCAATGTGTGGGTGTGGCTTAGGAGCTCCTTGCAGGGCTCTTGTTCGTTCTCCCTGAGATAAGCCTTGCCCCTTCATTCTCAGGAATGAGATGGGAGTCATCTGAGATTGTCGATGCTTTCCTTCTTTGGCTGTTTTTCTTCCCGTTTACCACTGGCCAACACCCTGGTGCAGCCACCATCTCCAGTTACCAGAGCTGGACTCCTGCTTGATGTTCTGGCCTCCCATCTTCTCCACTTTTCCGCTCTTTGGCCAGCAGGATCCCAGATGGGGCTGCACTGGAGCAGGAGCCATTCTGAGTTTGGAGTTGGAAATTTTGATTGTATAATTTTGGTAATATCTCTCTTTTCTCTTATTTTGGGCAGATTCCAGGGGGGGACAAGCGAATGGAGGACCAGAGACCTCTCACACCTCCGTCGCCCCAGCCAGCTGCTGAGAACTCATACCTCTACTCCACAGAGATCACGCTGTGGACAGTGGTGGCTGCCATTCAGGCCTTGGAGAAGAAGGTGGATTCCTGCCTGGCCCGCTTGCTGACTCTGGAGGGACGCACTGGGACAGCAGAGAAGAAGCTGGCTGATTGTGAGAAGACGGCCGTGGAGTTCGGCAACCAGCTGGAGGGCAAGTGGGCCGTGCTGGGGACCCTGCTGCAGGAGTACGGGCTACTGCAGCGGCGGCTAGAGAACGTGGAGAACCTGCTGCGCAACAGGAACTTCTGGATCCTTCGGCTGCCCCCTGGCAGCAAGGGGGAGGTCCCCAAGGTAGCCTTTGGGTGCCCTGGAGTGGGGAGCCCCCTGGGATGTGCCTGTAAGTGTGTGGGTGAGCGAGTGTGACACTTGTGGTTCCAGGTGCCAGTGACCTTTGATGATGTGGCCGTTTACTTCTCCCAGCCTGAGTGGGGCAAGCTGGAGGACTGGCAGAAGGAGCTCTACAAGCATGTGATGAGGGGCAACTATGAGACACTGGTCTCCCTGGGTAAGGATGTGTAAGGGTCTCTGGGCCTTTGTCCGAGATTGGGCTCTTGCAGTCTGTCTTTGCTTTGCTTCTTTTACTTTGGACATCAGAGCCTCTCCATGGGTATATGGGACCCAGATCTTTACCCATCCTGTCCCTGTTCTGTATGCAGATTATGCCATCTCCAAACCTGACATCCTCACCCGGATAGAGAGAGGAGAGGAGCCTTGTCCTGAAGACCAGCAAAGCAAGGAGAAGGGGACTGAGGAAGAGGCTGCATGTCCAAGGAGGCTGGACACTGGTAAGTGGGTACAAGTGGGGCATAGTGGACCACAGGCTCACCTCCTAAGTGTCCAGATAATCTAAGAACTGGAAAGGGAGCACAGACCCTTATCCCAGAGTGGGCTGCTCTCCAAGGCCACCCCAGGTGGGGGCAGGTGGAAGACTTCTTTTTAAAGTCCTGTGGTTTCGGATCTGTAGAAGGGGTAGTCACAAAGGGAAATGTAGAGCATGGGAACGTTCTTGTTCCATGATAAATAGGGCTGATTATCACTGATGTGACAGTGCAGTGACATCGCCATCACTTCTTGGTGTCTTCAGTGCTGTCCGTGTCCACCTGCCCGTTTCTGCTCCCCAGCTTAGCCTGCATCAGGAAGCTGCTGTGGCACTAGGGTTCCTTTGTGAGAAGGAGGCTGGGGCTGGATCCTCCTATAGCCAGTCTCCAAAGGTGACACTGCCTATCAGAATCCTCTGGGGGACTCTTTTTTTTTCTTTTCTTTTCTTTTTTGCAGTGCTGGTTATTGAACCTGGGGCCTGGTGCATGCCAGACAAGCACTCTACCACTGAGTCATGTCCCCAGCTCTGGGGAACATTTTTGAATTTAAAAAACAAATAAATGAAAGCAGAGAGAACAAGACAGTAAACCTCCAAATTATTGCTGGGACCTAACATGATCTTGTTTCTTCAACATTTGCTTCATCTGTCTCTTTCCTTTTTGTACACACAGCCATGATACCATTTTTATACCCCTTCCCCTAAAAAAAAAAAAAAAAAAAAAAAAAACAACAACAATTAATGATTGGTCCTTGTTCTCTTTCCCTCAACAATGTTTTCAGTAGGGTTTGGACCCTAATCTCATAACCCAAAGTCCATGCATTGCATTTGATTTATAAGTGACTCTTTATTTTTTCTTGGTGCTGGAGATCAAACCCAGGGCCTCTTGCATGGCAGTCTAGTGCTCTACCACTGAGCTACATCCCCAGCCTGTTTCTTAAATCTATAAAAACTCATCCCCCTTTTCAACAGCTTCATTGAGATATAATTTATACACCATAGAATTTCTCTATTAAAGCGTACAATTCAGTGGTTCTTGGTATATTAAGAGATGTGCAACCGTTATCACCACAATCTAACTTTAGAACTTTTGTGTTCGATCAAAAGAGACCCTTGGGGCTGGAGTTGTGGCTCCATAGTAGTAGAGCACTTGCCTAGCATGTGTAAGGCACTGGGTTCGATTCTCAGGACCGTATATAAATAAGTGAATAAAATAAATGTCCATCAACATCTTAAAAAAAAAAGAGAGACCTGAACCCATTAGTAGTCACTCCCTGCTGCCCTCTCTCCTGCCCAGGCCCTCTCAGCCACTAGCCTGCCTTCTGCCTCTGTGGAATTTGCCTATTCTGATGTGTCACATAAATGTAATCATATAATATGACCCTTTGTGTCTGTCTTCTTTCACTGAGCATAATGTTTTCAAAGTTCATCCATGTTGTAGTCTGTGTGAGTGCTTCATTTCTCTTGTGACTGAATAATATTCCATTTTGTGGACATACCACACTTTGTTTAATCATTCATTAGCTGATAGATACCACCCATGCCATTTATTTTTTGTCATTTTATTGTCATTTATCTGTGTGTGTGTGTGTGTGTGTGTGTGTGTTACAGTGGATCGATCCCAAGACTTTGCATATACTAGGCAAGTTCTCTACACTGGGTTACACCCCCAGCCCTTTTAAAAAGTTTTAATTTTGAGACAGGGTCTCACAGGCCTCAAACTTACTATCCTCTTGCCTAACCCTCCCAAGCAGCTGGGATTACAGGTGTGCACCACTGTGTCTGGCTTATTTTACATCTTTTTAATGCTCTTGTTTCCCACATTTTGGATTTGGTGTCATTAACATGGTCTCTTATTTCCTGCATTTCCTACGGATTGGGAGGTGGATTAGCAGTTTATGTAGACTCAGGTTCAGTGTTTTGACAAGACTTCTTCAGAGGTGTTGCTGTGTGCCCCTTACTCCTGTGGGCCAGCAGGCGCTGGCTTCTGTTATGAAGTTCCTGTCAGGTTTTCACCAGTGACTTTAATTAGCCATGGAGATTGCTGCCTGGCTTCATTATTTCAGTGAAAGTGTCATTACTTCTGTTCTTAAAAGCTAAAGCTCTTTTGTGATGAATAGTTCCTCTAATCAATCCTTTTAGTTACCCTGAACTACAGTACAGAAGAGGCAGGATAGATGCTTCACTCTTTCTTACATCAGTTTTTTGAATGATGACTTTTCTGTCTTTGTAGCCTCCAAAGGCGGCCAAAGGCTTGGGTTTTTTGTTTTGTGTTGTTTTCAAGTATTATGACTTCTTAGATTTTTAAATATTTTGTTTGTGCCAGTCCTTTGTAGCCATTATTTTCATATTTAAATTGTACCATCTTTGGCAAGTGGAATCGTTTTCAAGTTTTGCCCAGAGGTCATTTTAACATGACCTTGATGAGTTTCTGACACCTTAAGATACACGAGATTTGTTTTGAGTATTTCCTGCCCTGGGCCTGGAATCAGTTTCTCCGTGGATTTTCTGTTTTGTCTGGGGAAGAAACCCAGGGCCTCCACGTGCTGTGCAAGTGCTCTGCCACTGATGTCCACCCCAGCCCCTTGTCAAGAAGTTTTTATTGTTTTTAGTGAAGCATAGTATTTAGAGACCCTAGATGAGTGCTAGTTATGAATTTTAGGTGTTACTTCTGGGTGTTTTTTTCTGTTTATATCCCTGTTAACCATTTGTGTGGCTGTTTTTGTTCGTGTCTTATGTTTTTCTCTTGGAATGTTAGATAGACCTAGTTGATTTGCTGTCTCCATGAGGGCTGGAACTTTGCCTTATTCACTGACTATGTGCTGCCTGCTTACTGGTTTATTATAAAGGGTACAGGTGAAGAGAGACAAAGGGTGAAACCTGGGGGAAGGGCACAGGCTTTGGCACCCTCTCTGTTGTGCCACCATCCTGGGACCTGCATGTGTTAGCTATCTGGAAGCCCTGAAAATATGCATTTGGGGGTGGGGTACTAGGGATTGAACTCAGGGGCACTTGACCACTGAGCTACATCCCCAGTCCTATTTTGTATTTGTATTTTATTTAGAGATGGGGTCTCACTGAATTGCTTAGTACCTTGCTTTTGCTGAGGCTAGCTTTGAACTCTTGATCCTCCTGCCTCAGCCTCCTGAGCTGCTGGGATTATAGGTGGGTGCCACCATGCCGGGCAAAAATATGCATTTTTGAAAAGAAATGAGTTCATATAGACATTCCTGATTCAGATTTAATTTTGATTTTATAAACTTGTATATCACTTTTTAAAAATTTTACATTGTAATGTTACATTCCCACCTTTATTAGCATAATAACTTATTTGAGTCTTTTTATATCCGATCCCAACATTTAATTATTCTATAGTATCTATAATTTCAAAATAATGTATCCAGTATTCCTATTAATGTTTAGGCTTTTGTTTGCAAAATAAATAAGCCCTCTTATAGGGAAATTATTAAAGTAAACTTGTGTCCTCTTGCCCTCTAATATGGGTCTCCATGCTCAGAACATTTCCATTTATAAAAGAAAGAAAAGATTTGTACATTGCCAAACTTAACTCTAGGCACATCATTTTTATCGTTCTCTGGGTCTGTTTTTTCTGTCCCTAAGGAGCTGAGGATCTGCCTGCACCAGGGACAGAAGTGTCACTGGCAAAATCCAGGTTATCTTGAAGAGGATACAGCTCTCTCTCCTGCTGTGCTTTCAAAATAATAGCCTCTCCACCTGGCTTGGGGCCTCTCTTTGCTTCCCTCACTTAGTGGAATGTGGGGGAGGGGTCTGATGACCAGGGTACACATGGGTCTTCTGATAACCAGAGTGCATCTTGGGCACCCCTCTGCTTAGAGCACCACTAGTGTGCAGCACTGCTCTGGCTCTGAGGGTGCTGTTCTTTTTTTTTTTTTTTTGGTACCAGGGATTGAGCTCAGGGGCGCTCGACCACTGAGCCACATCCCCAGCCCTGCTTTGTATTTTATTTAGAGACAGGGTCTCACTGAGTTGCTTAGGGCCTTGCTTTTGCTGAGGCTGGGTTTGAACTTGCCATCCTCCTGCCTCAGCCTCCTGAGCTGCTGGGATTGCAGGTGTGTGCCACTGCGCCCGGCTTAGTGCTGTTCTCTTGTTCACTCTGCATCCCCAAATCTGACTGCACCAGGATTTAGCTCTCCTTTCCACTGTCACTAAGTCACTTTCTGTCCTTGGGGGTTCTTGAGAAGTGTCAGGATTTCATATTTTGATTTGGACCTTTCTTTTTTTCACTCTTGAGGCTTGATCTTGCACAGCCTCACGTCCGTGATGCTTTGGCTGGTTTACGAGGATGGGCACTGGGTTTCTCTTTGTTCTAGGAAGGGTCCAAAGATGAGGTTTCAGATGACCCACTGACGTTTTTAGGATCGCTGCCGACACTGTCCCGTTTGTCAGGCTTTCTATGGAAGCTGATGACTATTCTGTAGATAAAGTCTGCTGAACAATGTGACCAATTGGTATCCAAGGTCGTGCCCTTATTCAAGAGGGGAATTGGTAGCAGCATTACCAGTTACAAATCCAGCTGAATTCTTCTTTTTCCCCTCTGATTACACTCAGTTGGTGTTAACCATTTGCCTTTGAAAAGAATGCCATTGGAGGGCAAGCAGACAGGCCCTGCTTGGGTTGCTTTTGTCTCTGATGAATCTTTGTTCTCTGGATCCTGCAATTCCGGAACAGCCACTGTGGGTTCCGGTGTGGAGGTGGAGCCTCTTTCCCGTGGTTCTGGATTGCCTGTGCACATCTGTGCTGTCTGATTGCTTACAGCACGCAGCACGCACTGCCTGGTGCTGTAGGCCTCTGGCTGAACTTGTGTTGGATGGTAGATTCATCAGCCTTCACCGTCAGCCTTTCACTCATCATGCATTTCATTCTCTTCATAGGTATTTTCCTTAAAAAAAAAAAAAGCAGAGCTCCATTTCTTGTGGGAGGGGCACATGTGACATGTGCTCATTTGGAGGCTTATGATTTGACAACTTCAGTGACGGCTGAGCTGTTGTGACTTGCTGGGAGGCAAGCCTCGACAGACATTTTGTGTAGACTTGAATAAGAGGACAAGTGTAGGGTGAAGCATTGTCTCAAAAGGGAATACTTCACTTTGGAAACTCAGGAACCTTCAGGGCCACATGTGCGGTGTGTATTTTCTGCCATGCCTTTGGGCTCTCTGATGCTGTGGAGAGCAGGCTGGGGTGGGGGCCAGCAGCCACCATGATGGCTGGTGGAACGGACAATACTGTGTTTCCTCTCCCTACCCTAAACAGCAGCCCTCTGTCATGTCCTGGCTGCCAATCCTGTGTCAATTATCACACTATGCAGTCCTCCTGGAATGAGGCTCTAGAGGAGAATCTAGCGGCTGGATGACAGGTGAAGCCATCTCATCATCACACTCAGTGTTTGGTCTGATGTCCCAGGTCCCTGGGACTCTGCATTTACACACTTCCCAGAGGGTCCCTGGCCATCTGTTTGGGAGATCTCCGTGTTGTGCTCAGTGTCACTGGTTTGCATTCCTTAGGTCTCCTTCCATATCCAGAGCAAGTCCCCAGTCCAGTCAGCCATGCCCAGGAGGAGCCCAAAGAAGGCCAGGCCCCTCAACACCAACAGAACGAAGAAGCAGGAGTGACCCCACCCAGGCTGGGCACTGGTGAGTGACGGCAGCCAGGACAGCAACAAGAATGGTGTCTTTTGGCAGTGCATGAGTACCAAACACAAGCTGTGCTAGAAGTTCAGCAGGAAAGATAGCTGGGGATGTGACTGGGCTGAGCTGGACGGGCTCCTGGGAAAGGGACTCCTGAGGTAGACCCCAAAAGAAGGTAGGTTTTGGATTTTCAGAGCAAGAAAATATCTGTATGGAGCTTTTGGGGAGGGATGTGGATTGAGCCTCTTGGGGCTTCTTCCAGTGGTCCTATCAACAAGGCAGTTTATGTCTCATGCCTAGCACAGTGCTGGGTGGCAGGCATGTTGTAGGTGTCAGTAAACATCCTCTTTCTGAAGACCTGCTGAGAACACTGGCTTTAGTCACCTCTCCCAAGTTCTGTTTGCTTCAGTTCACAGGCCAATTCCTGCCATCCTGAGCTGGAACTGTAACTCAAAGGACACTGAGCAGAGCATGTGGCCTCTAATCCCCAGTCGCTTTCTGTCTCAGCTCACACTGGCTCCTCCTCCCTATTCTTCCTTCTTGCAGCTGGCCCAGCTTCAGTGTGTTGCCTTCTCCCCCGTGGTTTCTTTGTATTTCCCCCACTGAATGTGGCCCTCTGCAGGTAGAAGTGAAATTGCTTCCTTCCTGTGTGCTCCTTCCTGGCCAGTGTATAAGTTTGGACTCAGCTCATGGAATTGGTCAGGTGGGACCGTCTCAGATAGAGGAGGACAGTATCCCTGCCCATCGCAGACCTGAGACTCTGCTCTGAGGCCTCCCCAAACCCTCTTTCCTTTTGAGGACCATCATAGTCAGTTGCAAAAGGACAAATTGTGAGCCTAAGTTTGCGGGGGATTATGGTTGTGGCCCTCATATCTCTCTTCTTACCTCTGCAGTCAACTGGACTGAGGCCTGGGGGTCACTGTTCCTGGCAGGCCCTTGGGTATGGCCAGAGCCTGCTGAAGAGGTGGTCATGCCACTCTGCAAGAACCCCATGTCAAGAAAGGCCCCATGGGATTCTCTGTCTTGCAGGACCTCCAGCAAACACCAGCATTTTGTCCTCAATTAAACAGGAGAGAGAATCTTCAGAGGGGGAGTCACCAGCTTCCCCTCCCAGGGACATCATGTCCAGTCTGGGGCCAGGTGAGTAAATAGGCAGCGCCTGTCACCACGGCAGAGCCTCACACAGCTCAGAGGGCCCTTTGGGAGTAGCAGGGGTCTGGGGATGAGACCTGGTGAAGGGCTTTGTCCTGAGGCTTCCCTCCTCCTTCCCTCCCCAGGTGTGACCCACAGGCCCAGTCAGCCTATAGTCCTAGTCTTCTCTCTTGGTCTAGGCTGGCTGGGAATCCCCTGCTGGGAATAGACTGCAGGCTACCAGGCTGTGGGCAAGGGTGACCAAAAGGATGTTCCGCTTTGATTCCAGCCTCACAGCAACCCTGTGGAGTGACCCCGGCTTCCAGCCTTTATTTTATTTATAGATATGTGGTGCTGAGAATCAAATCCAGTGCCTCACACATGCTAGGCAAGCGCTTTGCCACTGAGCCCCAGCCCCAGCCCGAGAGTAAGCTTTTTGCTGTTATCCTGGTGGCTCTGGCCTCACTCAGTCCTGCACTGAGACCCAGGCAGGAATCATAGGCTGCCTTACAGGGTGCTCTCTGCACCCAGAAAGCAGGGTGTGGGCAGGTAGTAGGGATTGGCCCATTTGTTATATGGATGACGGATTGTGTGAGGTTAATTCACTGGCCTCCTCCAGGCTGCTGGGGTCTCTCACCTGGTCCTGAGGTAATGGGGCCCACGGGTTCCTTGTGCTTTACAGATCATAACTACTGACTTCAAAACTCTTAAGGTCCTGCCAACTCCTCTGCCATGGCCCAGGATCTCTCTTCCACCTTCCCACCTACCTATCTCCTACCATCTGTCTTCTGACCCCAGGGGCTATCTGGCAGCTGGTTTTTTGTGGCTTACTTTCCTCTCTCCTGGTTCCCCAGCTCAGCCTCCAGGAGTGAGGAGTAAGATAGCAAACAGGACTGAATGACGGGACAGGGCAGTGCCTGCTTGGTGAGGCCCCATGAGCAGGACCCCTTCCCATGTTGTGGGCCCTTGGAGGAGAAAGGATTCAGGGGAGGTGGGTGTAGGACTTGGAACCAACATAGATTCCTTTGCCAGGTGGTGGTGGCATGGCCATCAAGACAGAAGCTCAGTCTGAGGAGGAGATGGTGCCTGAGCAGCTCCGCCTGGGGTCCCCAAGCCGGACCAAGTGTAGAACACCTAGAGGGCCTAGGAACAGGACTGGAGGCCCTAGGCGGCATCACGCCCAGGGGAGGCCAAGGGTGCGCACTGGGGAGCCTCGGCCACCAGGGGCCATTGGGGAGACACCCCGCGTACTCCCTCGCCGGCGGGAACGGACCTTCCCCTGCCCTGACTGTGGGCAGAGCTTCCGCTTGAAGATTAACTTGACAATCCATCAAAGGACTCACGTGGAGGAGGAGCACAGGGAAGCTCCCGGGGGCTCACCCACCAGATGGGGGGAAGGCCACTCTACGCTGGAGCCAGGGGAAGTGGTAGTGCCTGGCCCTGTCATCCGCTGGCTCCCCGAGGAGCCCGTGGGCCACCATTCCCTGGGAGGGCGTGCCTTCATGGGGCGGAGGCCCACAGCCACCAAGATTTACCACTGCAGTGAATGCCTGCGCTTTTTCCAGCAGCGGAAGAGCCTGCTGCTTCACCAGCGCCTGCACACAGGCAACAATCAGGGCTGGCCTGCCTGTCCCTACTGTGGCAAGGCCTTCCGCCGGCCCTCGGACCTCTTGCGTCACCAGCGTATCCACACTGGTGAGCGACCCTACCAGTGCCCCCAGTGTGGCCGGGCCTTCAACCGAAACCACCACCTGGCTGTGCATATGCAGACTCATGCCCGGCGTCGGGTGGGCCTGCATTTCCCTGTGCCCTCTGCAGGCCAGGGGAGCTCACCCCTGCAGGGTCGCAGCCATGCAGAGGAGGGCTGACCAGGCAGGAGCCTGCAGGGCATCCTCTTGTCTTCCTGCATCCCAGGCAGGACCTGTGATCTATCTCTTAGGGCTTTCCCTTGTGCCTGATGCTGGTCCCTTATTCTGGGATGTCTTGGAGAGAGTTTTTTTTTTTTGTTTCCCTTATTCAAATGGAAAGCAATGGCCCTTTTGATGATATCATATATATGCGACAAGGTACCTCTATTTTCTCTTTCCTAAGGGTGTCACTCTGTGCTATCTTTTTCTACATTCTTGACCTGCAAAGGGTCCCTGAAGGCTTAAACAACACCAGTTTTTGGTGTAGCTTTTGACTGGTGCTACAGTCAAGATGATCAGAGACTGTGGTCCTTTCAGAATGGACCATAGAGACTTCGGGGACTGGGAGTGACTGCACAGAGGTCTGTCTGCGCTCCACATGAGAAAACAGCAGAGAGAACAGGACACAAGAGAAGGCACTCGGAATTTGCATTTTCTGCTTTTGTTAGCTTGAGACTTTTTTTTTCTTTGAATGAAGACTTTGTAATGTGTTTGTAAGCGTTGTGTATAGTTGCAAAGAGGACCAGGAGCTCCTGAGGGCAGGAATTCTGCCACTTCCTTTGTGGGTCTGGCAGGGCAGGAAGAGGGTTTTGATGGGCAGAATTTGGCTGCTGTCTTAGAAGCAGAGCTTCTCTCCAGGTGTATGTTTCTGAGCTCTGAGTGACTCCCAGTCTTCCTAGTCCTTCCCTCACAGGGCAGTCTCATCTGTTATTTACTTTTGATATCAGTTAAAGAGGAAAGGAAATCAGGTGTGGATGGCCTCCCTTGCCAGGTCTCAGGATTCATAGGTGTGCATGATCCATTGACTGGACCCAGAAGATGCCTTGAGGGTGCTGCAGAGTCTTGTGAGCCCAAGACCTTCCTCAAGGGGAAGACTGACTGGGGGAGGCTGGGGAGTCTGCCTGGACTCTCCAGGCCTCGTTTCTCCTGGTAAAGAATTTGGGGTCTGGTGCTAAGTAGGGCTAGGAGGTTGGGGAATCCTTCAGCCCCCCTCTAGGCTCACATTCCTTGTCTGTCAAAGGGTAACAGCTCCAGTGCATCCCACCTCATCTAGGAGTTGTTGGCACTGAATTTAGAGACTGCACAAATAAGACGCTTGGTGATATTCTTAGTTTCAAGTTCAGGGTTTCCAATTTTTTTTTTTCCCAGTGATTTCCTGCTCAGTCAGAATCCCCTGGGAAGAGTGAGGGTTAGTGCCCTTGTACCAAAGCATCGGTCCATGACCTGTTTTTAATAGTATTGCTATTGTCAGGCTGCACGGAGAAGTCTTGATGCCTAGTTTCTCATATTCCTTAATCACACCACCTTGGGTGCTGCCTACAGACCAGCTGGCTGTGGGTTCTGGGTCCCTGGCAACTTCCAGTTGTCCTCACCCCTTTTCCACAGTCCCGAATGGAGTTTGGGGCAGATGGTAACATTGCCATCATCCCTGGGAAAGGGGAAGGATAAAAGTCTGACAGGTTAGCCAAGATCCTAAAGAGGCACCACCTGCTTGAGGCTCCTGCTTGTCTGGAGCCCCAGAAGTCAGAGACAAATGTCAGCACGTGCGCAGGCAGGATATGGTACAAGTGTGGCTGCTCAGCTTAACCCTCAGCTACAAGAGCTAGGCTCAGATATTCTGGTGGTGCCTCAGGGCTCAGAATTTTAAATTCTAAAATTTTAAATGCTAAATGCACTCTGTAAATACAAGCATTCAATTGCAAGGCTCAGGTGTTTTTCCCTTTTCTTATTTTCAAAGCATTCAGTGCTCAGCTCTGGGCTATGCATATTGGGTTTGCCCTGTCATTCAATAGGACGCGTTTAAAGAATGCTCCTCAGGTTGAAATGAACAGTGGAGGCTACAAGGTGCAGTAGCCCAGTGGTGCCCCACAATCGGGAGGTGGGAGCCCTGGTTGGGGCCCAGACTTCCCCAGCTCTGGGCCTCAGCGTCCTCATTTGTGAAACAAAGAAGTGGTTGGGTCTTAAGATTCCTTAACAACTGTGAAGGTGGCAGTCTCCTGCTTTAATCGGTGCTTAATAAACATGTTGGCATAAATGATTGTGCACGTGACCTGGTTTCTTTTTTGTAGGAAGTGAGCGGCCGCACTGGCCAGTCACAGCTGGCGACGCCCGTGGGTTGCCTGGCCCGGGTAAAGGCAGCCCCTGCACCTCACACTCACACCTGCCCTGGCGCGCAAGGCCGGGGCTCAAGCTGCGGGACGAGCTTCCCGGCCAGCCAATAAGGCGCAGACTCCGGGCCGCAGGGGCCTTACGCACGCAGGCTGGGGGTGGGGCCTCCCAGGTCGGCCAATGGGGAGCCAGCTCTGCGTGGGGGCGGGACCCAGCTGTGGCTCTACGGCCGGGTGCCTGGAAAGCGGCGCTCTTGCTCGGACCTGGCTTTCTACCTTGCGTTTAGGAACATTTGTGGCTCCGCGGTGCCGGGTCTGTGTGGAGAAGGCAGGGCCCAGCTCGCGCGCCAGCGGAGAGGACCGGGCGGGCCGGCCTGTGTGGGGCCACGCGCAGCGGGCGACAGTGACTTCCGAGCCTGACTACACAGCGCAGGACCATGGCCCAGGCGGCTCCGGTAAGGACGCCCCTCAAGGTGGATGTAGGGGCTTGGAGCCGAGTCCTGAATTCGTCAGGATGTCATACCGGCCCTGCCACCTTCCGTAGTGGGAAGGATGCGTAGGGCCACACGATAAAGTCCCTTCTACTTGGCCCCAGTTTCCTCGTGTAAAGAATAGAGCACTCGGATTTAACCACGAGATGCCTGGCTCAGTGGGACCAGGTGTGGGGGGAGGGAATGTGGGTGTCCGCACTCCCCAGGCTCTCCAAGGCTTCTTTTCCTGGACGTGTCGTTAGGGACCAGCCCCCCACCCCCACCACGATTGACCATCTCTGAGGGACTTTCCACCCCATTATCTCATCTTTTTCCAAGCTAGTGTTACCGCTGTTTACTGGTGACAAGTCCTTGCTTCCCCAGGGCTGAAGTATAACACCAGAGAAGCACGCGGAGGAAAGTGGGGAGTGGAAAGCAGAAGGCTTTACTAAAGGACAGCAGAAAAGACTTCTCCCTGGAGGAATCCGTGGAAGTGGGGGGAGGTCTTCCCTTTTGATAGCGAACGTCTTCTTTTAGTCTGTCTTCCCACATTCATGTCTTTTGTTTCCCTTTTTCTTGCAGTGATAGAATGCAGGTGGGAGATTTGGTGGGCTGAAGGAGTAATCTAGGCTGGAAGGGCCTGGGGTGGTTTTTGATTAGTACCTCTGTTTGCTGGGAGATGCTTCATTAACAATTCTTTAGGATGGGGTTTCAGGCCTTGGGGACATTAATATTTCAATTTCCCCTAGTGCTGCTCTGCTTTCCTGGATTCCATTCTGGTAATGGTCTCCATTTTCTTTATCTTATTGGATATTAGACCCGATTTACTACACTAACTACACTAACTACCTATCTGTAAATCTGGCTTCACCAGGTCTAGTGCCACTGTCTGGGGAGGGTATATTTGTCTCATCAGGCCCTCACATCCTCCTGGGAGCCAATCTTATCCCTACCTGGAGAGTACCATGAAGGTCTTCCAGACCTGAGCTCCAGTCAGGTTGATTCCTGCTGGAACTTGCCCTTGTTTTCCAAGATTCCCTGGGAAGTCCCTAATACAGTTACTGGGAACAGATTTGCATTATGCATGGTTAGTGTTTTAGGCTCAGGTTTGACCTAGGCCCTCTGTGACTGGTGTGACTAAACTGTTGTGTTTTTTTGTGTCTCAGAAGATAGAGGACATCTCCTGGTAGCAATAGCTTTGCAGAAATTTTATTGACATTCCTGAATGTCAAATTTGTGGCCGGGCACTGTAGAGAGATAAGGATGTTTGCCCCAAATCTGTGAAGATGATCTGCCTTCTCCTGGCTACACTGTATTGTATGGGTCAGGGGCCAGACTAAGGGATGGCCCCTTGTGCTATAAAAGGTGGAAGGAAGGGACAAATGCCTGGTGAGTAGTAGTTTGAACGTGTGGGACACTTTACTGAGTTGTGTTTGGCAAGAGGACTTTGTCCATGCCCTTTTTTTATTTATTTATTTTTAAAAATAAATTTGCATTTTTTTTTATAGAGGGAGAGAGAGAGAGAGAATTTTTAATATTTATTTTTTAGTTCTCGGCGGACACAACATCGTTGTTTGTATGTGGTGCTGAAGATCGAACCCCGGCCGCACGCATGCCAGACAAGCGCACTACCGCTTGAGCCACATCCCCAGCCCCCATGACCTGTTTTTAATAGTATGCTATATGTTGTTATACATCCTGAGTGCTTTTCCATAACTCTAGTGCATTCCATCCACACCATCCCCTTAGGAGGTAGCAGAGCTGTGGTGTCCCTACAAGTGAGAAAATAGAACCCTAGAGAAGGGATTCACCTCCAGTTGTGCATGATTCCGATGACAGGTTAGAAGTTGGTTCAAGGTCTAGTGGAGCTCCATTCCAGGAGTGCTGCCATTATTCCTTAGCTGCCCCCTACCCCCACTAAGGCATTCCTGGGCTTTTTATTTTGCTATTTCTAGTAATGCATGATACAGTGTTCACCTTCTGTGGGCAGGTTATTTTTATTTTTATTTTTTTTTTACTATTTCCTTATTCTGACTACTCTAAGGTGCTATCATTTGTCTTTTTCTGGTCTGTGATCCCTGGCAGCTGGGTATGGCCTCCCAGTGTGATAACAATTACCTTGAGGGCTGGTCTGGTCTACTAGGTGCCTGGGCTTATAAGCACCCAGTTTCCTAGGTAGGGTAGGGAATCACACACCGGCAGATATCAGGTGGAAAGGCCTTCAGGATTATCAAAGTCAGAACAACAGTCTTTCCTGACCTCTGAGCATAGTAATGGGAGGTGAGGGTGTCGTGTACTTGAGGAGCAGATGAGGCAGTGATTTCAGCCCCCTAAATAATAATATAAAAAGGGGTTGGGATGTGGCTCGGTGGTTAAGCCCCTCTGGGTTCAATTCCCAGTACCAAAAAAAAAAAAAAAAGTAATTAAGTAATTGGCTAAACTAATAAAACTCCATAGAAGGACTAATATTGGAATCCATTGTACTCTGTTTGTGATGATATTGCTTGCTATTTCATTTTCCATTGCTCCTAGTTATGGTTCAAGATTCTTCACACAAAGGCTCTGTGGATTCGAATGTCTGCTGACTTGACCATTTGTCAGGTTGGGTCTGTTTGGTGGTCTAACCAGAAAGGGCTTCTGGCACCTGGGAGAAGTTTCCCCCATTCCAGAGGACCTTAAATTTCTTGTATCTGGGAATGGCATTGATTCCTCTTTTGGCACCTGGCTCACATTCTTGTATCTGGTTGTAGGATTGGCACCTGGGGAGTAACCTCCAGCGAGAGGCCCAGATTCAGTCTGCAGAGATCTCCCTTCTGGCCATCCTGGCTGCTGTTCAGGCTGTGGAGAAGAAGATAGAATCTCAGGCTGTCCAGCTTCAAGGCCTGGAAGTGAGAACAGGGATAGCTGAGAAGAAGCTGGCTGACTATGAGAAGACAACTGTGGAGTTCAGCAACCAACTAGAGGGCAAGTGGGCCATCCTGGGGACCCTGCTGCAGGAGTACGGGCTGCTGCAGCGGCGGCTGGAGAACCTGGAGAACCTGCTGCGCAATGGGAGCTCTTGGATCCTGCAGCTGCCCCCTGGCAGCAAGGGGGAGGCACCCAAGGTACAGGAACTGAGTCAGTAGGGTCCTCACAGGCAAAGCGCAGAGGGGCCCCTTGACTGCTGAAGCCTGATTTCTTGGTACCTAATGCTAGTCAACCATGGACTTTAAGGGTCTTAAAAACATCAGAAGGAAATTGTGACACCAACAAGATGTCTGGGTTGGCAGATGGAATGGGTTTATTAGGAGGGATTTTGTTGTACAGTAAGAGTTGTATGTCTTAGCTGGGTGTGGTGGTGCACCCCTGCAATCCCAGTGACTTGGAAGGCTCTGGCAGGAGGACAGTAAGCGCAAAGCCAGCCTCAGCAACTTAACTGAGCCCTGAGCAATTTAGTGAGGCCCTATCTATCTCAAAATTATATATGAAAAAAGGCTGGGTTGAGGGTGCTGTGGTTGTGATAGAACCATGGTTGTGGTAGAACCGTGCCGTGGTAGAACACTTGCCTAGCATGTGTGAGGCACTGGATTTGATTCTCAGCACTGCATATAAATAAATGAATAAAATAAAAGTCCATCAACAACCAAAAAAAGATTTTAAAAAGGTGAGGGGGTTTGGGGATGTGGCTCAATGGTTAAACACCCGTGGGTTCACACCCTCGTCCCCAATAAAGACAGACAGACTTGTCTTATCCCAGAATGACCTCTGAGAGTAAGACTGGCCTGAGTAGGGGAAGTCACCGAAAGTCCTTCCCTGAAAGCCACATGGAATAAGATACATTTGTGCCTAGAAAAGAGGAGTTGAACAACCAGACATATGAAAAATTTTGCTCTATATGTATTATAAGAATTGTAATGCATTCTGCTGTCATATAAATAAAAAATAATTAGATTGATTAAAAAAACCTGCTTCTGAAAATATATATTGTATATTAAAAAAAAAAAAAAAAAAACTACCAAGCCAACAAAAAAGGAAAAGAAAAGAGGAGTAACCTAAGAGCCCTGACTCCGAGTCCCTTAGCCACCGGTTCTGCCCATTGTCCAAAGCAAATATGATGGAGAGGAGCTGGCATTTGCCCAGTGGTTTGACCAGCTGTGCCCTCTGGTTGGGGAGAAGGGAGAGGAAACTACAGCTGGTTGTAGCTGTTCCCTGAAGTGGTGGTAACTCACTGTGGGCCTGGGGGACTTGTACTTCCAGGTGCCCATGACAACTGAAGAGATGGCCATGTGTTTCTCAGAGCAGCAGAAGGGTACCTTACAAGAGCGGAAGAAGGCGCTCTGCAAGCAAGTGGCAAAGGAAAGCTGCAAGACTCTGGGCTCTCCAGGTGAGGGGCCAGGGTGGGCTCATCCTCTGCCTTCGCAGGTAGGTAGTGTCCTTCCTTCCCGTTTTTGGGTCTTATGCAGTGAAACACAGCAAGGTTGAATGGTTTTTCCAAGACCTCAGGGAGGAAAAATAGGGCCTGGCATCTGCTCCTCACTGTCCAGCCCTTTGTGTGACTCAGAGGCTGCTCTTAAGGCATAATTCACTTCTGGGGAGTGAACTATGACCTCCCTACTTAAGTTTATTCCCCTAGGACTCCCTGAACTATGCTCTGAACTCTGGAGTTCTTAGAAAGCTCCTGCTGAATGCAGAATTAATTGTCAGCATTCTTTAAAAGATGTTCTGGTTCCAGAAAATGAGGGCCAGCCCTAACCCTTGAGTCCTCCAGGCCGGTGTGCATAAGGGCCTGGGTGAGACTTGGTTAGGTCTAGATGGTTGTGGCTCCCCTACTCCCCTGCCACCCTGCTTATACACCTGAATTCTCTCATTGCTTTGGGCAAGTGAAGAGTTGGCTATTTGTCCCCTCTTGCCTCTTGGGAGGTTGAAACCCAGGAAAGAATGCTTTGCTTCCCTTTCCTAGCACAAAGCTTCCTTTTTTAGAAGAGGGTGCCAGTGTATTGCAGGAATGCTAGGTGAGAGATGGTGCCTGGCTAAGGGGGCAGGAGTGAGCATGTGGAAGAAAGGCAGCAGCTGACTACCATGTTTAACTGGCTCCCCATCCTGGACCTCAGTTTCCCACAGTGTCACATGAGGTAGCTGGATCAGGTGACCTTGGGCTTCTCCTGACTGAGAGAGGGACATAATAGAAGCCTTTCTTCCTGTTCTTATTGCTCCCACTTCTGGCTGGGAGGCCTCATCCCACTCCATCCAGTGTCCCAACATCCCACACCATATACTGCTTGAAGAGGGAGCCAAGTGGGTCTTGCTCTCAGCCCACAGAGGAGAGTCCTGTCACTACCTTCTTCTCCCCACAGACACCAAACCAGAGCACGTGACCCCAGTGGAGAGGGGAGATGAGGTGGGCAGCCACAGCCTACCCAGTGCAGAGAGCAGCAAGAGCCCAGGCACTGGTGAGTTCCCGGGGTGCGGGCCTGTCCTACCTGGTTTTACCTGGAACACATGTCAGTAATCCCCACCTGAATACAGAAGCAGAGCAGGGAAATGAGCTGCTGCACGCCACAGCCCACTGTCGGGCAGATCCTGGTAATGCCTGGAAAATGTGGAGGCATTAAATGTCTCTTGAATGTCCCCTTGGAGCCATCACCGTGGCCTGAAACCACTCTGAGAGCTGTGGGGACAGGCTGAGGGCAGAGCATATACCTAGGAACCCAAGATTCAGGAGGCTATTATAGTGCCTGCAGGATCTTCTCTGAAACCTTGGATGCCATATCTGTGCCCACGGACCTTGGCACCTGCTCTCCCTGCTGAGGTGCAGGCTTCATCCTGAGCTTCCTCCAGGCAGCACTGTCCTCAGGAAAGGACTGAGTGTTACTATAATGTCCCCTTATGGCACTTAACATAGTGCCTGGCATATACTTAGATAATAAATAATGAGTAATTACCAAATGAACAGGGAGCCAGATAAGGAGCTCAGTTTTCTTTATTTTTCGGATAGTAGTGGATCAAATGCAGATTTCAAAGCTTGCTTTTTTTTTTTAAGGTGAGGAATCCTTTCTTCAGATGACATTCAGAAATAACAGGGGAAAGGGAAACTGCTCAGGTCATTGGGATGGAAACCTTGTTCACTCAAAACACAAAGGATCACGCCTAGAAACCATGCCTTGCTTTTGGAATCTTGTGCTTTATTTTGGGAAAAAGGCTTTGTTTTGAAGCAGACTCTCTGAGTAGGTAAATTAAGTCACAGAGTCACCCCAGAACAAGGAAGAAGGAAGGAAGGTGGTAACATGGGTACTGAGTGGCTGGCATGTAGGCCTGAGGCTAAAAAGTGTTTTTGGACCCCTGCAGGGAGTGGGGCATTGCAGAGAGAGTGAGCCAAGTCAGGGGCCAGGCCATGTGGCAGGCATGCTGGGGAGCTGTGAGTGTGAATGCTGAGTGGGCAGTGGCTCTACTGCAAGATCCAGGTGGCACTCCCTCCACCTGGAGGGGATTTGGTACCCTCTGCAGATGTGGGCAGGACCAGGGCTCATTCAGAGGCTGTGCTGCTCCCAGGCAGATGCAGGGCAGGCTGGGCCTGGCCTACATGTCTCTAGAGGTGCCCCTGGAGGTGCCTACAGCTCCCCCATGGAGCTGGGGCTTGCTGTGGAATGAAGTTAGAGTAAGCATCAGGAAATGAAAGAACGTGTCCTCCGTGTCCTGGGTCATTGCTGTCTTAGCATTAGCACTTTCTTGCACTCCACTCTCTAAGCTTTTCTACTTTCATCTGGAAAGAGCTTTGCTTCCTCCAGGGGCTTGTTCCTAGGAGCTGTGGGCCTAGGTTATGTGGGTGTGAGTCTGCTTTATTTTCTAGAATTTTACACACAGGATCCTTCTATCAGAATTCTGGGAAAGATGTGAACAGAATCCTCTAGATCTGGTCACCGCAGTTTCAACCTGTTCCTCAGGTGATAATGGATGCAGTCAGAATTTTGAGAAGCAGGCTGCAAAGATCCCCTCGTCAGAAACTGGCCAGCCTCTAACCTTTGAGAGTGTCTGTTTTGATGATGCAGATGAATTCTTACAGGAATAGTGCATATGCATTCTTACAGGAATACATTCTCACTAAGCAGTGCAGAGATTGTGTGCGAAGTGGAAGGGCCACCTGCCTGATCCTGATAGCCACCGTGATCATTTTGGTATAAGACCTTTTAGGCTTTTTTTAATGCTCTTACATATATACATGTAATGTAGAAAAAAATAGGGTTTTAAAACAGATATACTATGCTGTTTTCATTCAATGGTTTATGTTAAGGATCTTTTTGTGTTGATACATTTGATCTGCTTCCTTCTCTGAAGACTAGGCTGCTGGGAACCTGCTAGGAACATGGTTTCCAGGGCCCTTGTTAATTGTGGGGCCCGCCTGGCATGTGGCAGTTAGGCATGTGTGGCTGAGCTAGCATCTTCTCAGGTGATTGGATCAGAGGTGCCTCAGTACAACAGAAAGGGACCATGTGTGCCCCTGAATATAAAACCTGGCACATAACTGAGTGATGTGGATGTTGGTGGCTTGTAATGTTATCCACTCATTCATTTATTTAATAAAAAATTATACTTAACCCATATCAAACTCAGAGTAGGAAGAAGGAGTAGTAATTCTTCTATTTTTAAGGCAGGCCTTAGAGATTGGTGAGCTGTCTTGGCCCCTGAAGGACATTGTGTTTTGAAGGCTTCTAAAACGGAGACCGGAAAAAAACTGAACCTAAACAACGAGATCCTAGCTTAAATAAGATAGTGATTGGTTTCTAGCTCCTGACAGGTCGGAGTCACAGGCCCAAGTTCCTTCCAGCTTGTCCATCCACCTTTCCTAGGGTGGGTCTTGTCCTCAGGGCTCACTGCCATGTCTCAGCCATTAACCTATTAAATTCACATGTTTTCAGTTCTGCAAAAATAATAAGTATTTTGATGTTACTGTAAGTGATGTATTTGTTTCCCAATTTAAGTGTTTCTAGGTGTTTCATGTCTGGGACAATGGGAGAAAATGAATGAAGCAGCAGCAAGAGGGCAAGGGGATGCTCTCTCTGTTTAAAAGTAGCACATTTAAAAATGTTACAGCCTTGGTTCCTCCTGTTCTAGATGAAGTTGTCAGAGTTCATATAACTAGAGGAGCAGAGTCCCTCTCATCCCATTTGTTGTCTGCTGGCAGGGAAGGCCCAGAAACATGGTCTTTATTCTGCTGTTCCATGGACCCAGCCAAACACCAGGCACTCTGTTACTACAGGTGGAAGGCAGGTGGTGATGGAAGGCTGCTGGCCACCTGATCACAGCCTTCAGCCAGTCACTCACAGGCCATGCTGTCAGATCAGGCTGGGCAGGCAGCAACCAAAGTTGGCAGATTTAAAAGGGCCGCTGAACAGGCTTTATTGAGATATCACTCCTGGGCAGAACTCGTTCAGACCCACAGAGGGGACAGGGGAAGGGTCTGAGGAGAAACAGAGCAGAAGCTCGACCAGACTGGACTTTTATGGGGCTTACAGCAGGAAGGGAAGGGCTTGGGACAGGAAAAGGTGTCTCTAGGGTCCCTTGCCCCCTTGGATTTGGTCAGGGGAGTTGGCTGAACTCCAGGATTGGCCAGGGGGTCCTGCTGATTGACAGGCCTTAGTCAGGAGATCTGGCTGATTGACAGGCGTTTCCGCAGGCATCTGATTGATGTTCAAAGCAGCACGGGCTGCTTTGTTCTAAGTTGCCACTAAGTCGTCGCCACCAAGTTGCTGCCACCGACCTAACATATACAACCCCAGTTCTCCCGACTCCCTGCTATAGTACTTGTTAGCGTTCCTCGAAATCCTGTGTCTGCTCTGCTCTTACTGGGATCTGTAGTTCTGCTGGTAGTGCCTGCTGATGGCTGGTTCCAGACTGTGACTGTGAAAGGAGAGAAGCCCCTTGACCTCTGATGCCCTCAGGACCTTATCCCCTCTCCCTTAGAAACAGAACAGCTGGGATCTCCCCCAGGCAGTCTGCCCTGGATCAAGCAAGAGGAAGAAGAATGTGGGAGGAACCTGCAGGAGGCGACCACTGCACACCCTGCACTCCCATGCTCAGGTAAGGCTCAGAGGGCAGGGCTGCAGGCTGCCTCCCTGGGCGTTGGACCGTGGGTCCTGAGGGGAGCCTCCAAGCACCTCCAGCAGAGCCTTCTCCTGCAGAAGTGTCCTGAAGGGGAGGCAGTGTCAGTCAGCCCGTATTGTGTTGTATCTCTGTGGCCTCATCTGTTTGCTGGGGGTGTCGTAGAATTGCATGAACTCATTCTCCTTTTATTCCTGAAAATGTTTTCTAACTTCATTTTACAAACTAGCTAGTGTGGTGCTAGGCCCAAAGGGACTCATCAATGCATAAGATGTAGATTCCCCTTGTCCCCCACAAGGAACTTAAACAATTAGGAGGAGAGAGACGGTTAATACAGATAAACAGTATAAAGAAAGAAGAGGAAGAGAGCCAGAGAGCCCTTTGGGATTTTTTGAAAATGAGGGAAATTTTCCTAAGAAAAAGTACATCTGCTTAATAATGTGCAGGCAAAGATGTACTGCAGTTGAGCTGTGGCAGACAGGACGTCCTGAGGCCATGTGTGGCATGGACAAGGTGCTTCCAGGGAAAAATATCACTGCGTTGGTCTTGGGAGGCTCCTGGGAGAGCACAGACTGAGAAGGCTTGAAGTGTGGTGAGAGAAAGAGGCCTTGTAGGTGGAGAGGACCCTTGAGGAACAGAGCTGGGATGAACAGGGCATTCAGGTGACATTTGATAGAATAGCTTGGTGTGGGAAATCTGCAGAAGGCAGGGGGAGATCAGCCCAGAAGGGCTGGGCTCTCTGGCTCAGAGCTCACAAGTAGCCACTGTTTGGCTGGTATAAGATTGGCTGGGTCCCTGGAGGCAACCAGGGGCTACTGAGGACAGGAGAGCAAAGGACGAGGGTTCCAGAGATGACTCACTTGCTCTGTCCCTTCCTAGCACAGACCTGGCTAGCCAGCAAAGAGAAGAGCAGCCTGGATGGGGAGTCCGATGTCCTGAAGCCAGCCTGGGCAGCTGAAGGGGGACCTGGCAAGGAGGACGTGCAGGGAGACGCTTGTGGAGATCTGCCTCATGCCACAAGGGAAAAAGAGATGACCTCCTGCCCTCCAGGTCCCCAGAGCCAGGCTGTCCCAGAGCAGTGCTGGCCCTGTGCTGAGCATGCCCAGAACTTCAGCAGCAGCCCCATAACATGCAGTGCACAGCAGGCGCGCTCACACCACGACCCCCAGCCCTTCACCTGTGTGCCGTGTCCCAAGAGCCTGCCGCAGCAGGCTGCCTTCCCCAGCCACAGCAGTGCTCACACAGCCCAGCGTGCCTACACCTGTGCCCAGTGTGGCAAGAGCTTTGTTCATCAGTCGACGCTCACCACACACTACCGCACGCACACTGGGGAGAAGCCATATGAGTGCGCCGAGTGCGAGAAGCGCTTTGGCCGCCTGTCCACGCTGCTGGAACACCGTCGCACACACACCGGCGAGCGGCCGTTCCCGTGCACGCAGTGCGGTCGATGTTTCGGCCGTCTGTCCACGCTGGTGGAGCATCGTCGCACACACACGGGTGAGAAGCCCTTCCCATGTACGCAGTGTGACAAGCGATTCACACGCCTGGCCAACCTGACTGTGCACCAGAGCGTGCACTCCGGGGAGCACGCCTTCCAGTGCACCCAGTGTGGCATGTGCTTTGCACACAAGCCCACCTTTCTGCAGCACCTGCGTGGCCACTCACAGGAGAAGCGCTTTACCTGTGGCCAGTGTGGCAAGAGCTTCAGCTGTCGCTCATGGCTCATGCGCCACCAGGGCAGCCATGCCAGCCATTCGTCCTCTGCTTGTACAGCTTGGGAGAGAGGCTCTCCAAACCATGAGCCACCCACAGGCCTCCTTAGAGGTGCACCGTGGGGAAGGTCCCCCAGTGACCCTTCTGTTCCACCCAGATCCGAGGATATTGGAACTGAGTGGGACCACAGGGTGCACCCTGGGGGCAGTCAGCTGAGTGGCAGTGATCAAGAAGATTTGCGGGGGTCCCTGCATAGTTTTCTTTCTAGTGTGAAGATGGAGAATGCTGGGTAGCACCCAGAGAGCTCCCTAAGGTGACTACTGAGGACACAGAGGTCCTGAGTGCCCCTTGGATCCAAGCTACCGCTCTTAAGGGGAGCACGTTTGTTCTGTGGAGTGTACGGTGCTGCCCGGTAGGACTTGCCGGGGGCTGTTCTTCCAGGGACTGAGTAGACAAAGTGCCCAGAAGACTTCTTGCTGCAGGGAGGCTATGTGAGGGACTGGAGGCAGGGCCCTCTGTGGGGGGGACTGTTTGGGTGGGGAGGGAGTGGAATTGGAAGACCTGCTTCCAAGGTAGTGCTCAGTGCCTTGTAGGGGAGTGTGGGCTTGCCCTCTCCTGGCATAGCCCTAGGCTTCCCTGCCCACTAACTGGGCAGATTCTGACGTGCTTCCTCAGGTGGTGTCCAGGTCTGACCTAGCCTCCCTTTATAAGCTGGGTCCAAGCGTCTGTCAGGTGCAGAACCAAGAGCCTTGGTGAGTTATTGCAAAATTCATGGGAGTTTTTTGTGGCTCCCAACTTCCTGCTCCCTACAACCTGGAAAGGCAACTTTATGGGCCAGGATGGCCCAGAAGGCTGGGCTCTCTGGCTCAGAGCTCATACGTGACCATTTTGGCCCCCATGAGGTACTGTTTGGCTGGTGTAAGGTTTACCTTTAAGCTGTTGCTGGAGCTGGCAGGCAAAGCTCCAACCTGTGCCTCACTGGGGATGAATACACAAACCAAGGCCTTGTTCTTCGCTGGGACTAGGAGGGCTATCTCCCATCTGTGGCACTGGGGGTAGGGGGGCATAAATGCCAGCATGTGGCATGGGCATAGTGAATGTTGCAGAAGCACTGAAAGTTGGAAGGAAGGAAGGAAGGAGGAAATTGTATGTGGTTGGCAGCAGCTGAAGAATCCCTGGTTAGTCTCCATCTCAACAATTTAGGCCAGCAACATGGGCTTTTCAGATAGGGCTTTATGCATAGCTGGCCAGTTTGGAGTCCTGTCATTTTGATAAGGTTCACCCCAACTATGGGAGATCTCAGCCCAAACTGGATTCCAAGATCCCCTAGGATTCTGAGCCTTAGCTGTCAGATTATCCCCTAATCCCCAGTACTTGGAATGTAGGCATGTGTGTTCCTGAGGACTCACTTTGGGGTGCATGGGAGCAGAGGTGGTTGAACTCAGGTGAGTGTGGCAGCTCCTGTACTGCTCTCTGGCTTCCATGTCTCCATCTAGTGTTGGGCTTTTGGAGAGTTCTAAATTTACCACAATTTTAAAACCTCTGTAAAGACATGTATAAGGGATTGTAAGCCCCTCCCCTCCTGACCCTGCTGGACATCATTCTTATTTGTGATGTTGTAACTCTTTGACTTCGGGTTCTGGTGAGCAGTGGTGAATTAGTTATTTTCAACTGTGCTTCTATTTTGAAGTTCTGAAGAAAAGTCCCAGATGGACAACAGTCCAGAACAGGGTTCCAAAGGAAGGCAGAGTGGAAGTGGGCCTGGAGGGCAGGTCCTCAGCATTTAGCCCTGGGTCTGTGCATGGAAAGCCTTGTGTCTGTGGGGTGAATGAGTGGACCCACATGTGGCACGATGCCCAATTATAATGCTGTGGACCTGAAATGCAAAGTTTAGCACTGCTTTACCATTTCCCACCTTGAATAATATTTATACATTACTATGTCATCAAATCTAAAATCCATTAATTGTAAGACACACCTTTATCTTCTGTTTCACTAAGCAGGGAAAAAAGAAAAACTGCACCCATTTCATTTTGACTCTGTTACTAATGCAGGATGTTAAATGTGTCCCATGGGAGACATGTCCCTAAGTTGGGAAAAATACATGTGTGTCAGGTGTCCTTTTAAGAATTGGTTACTAGCTAGGTGGCTGAATGTTTGCGACTCGTTTATTCTTGATAATGCTAGATCAGAAGATTTATTTTTAGACAAAGAGCCTAAATGTATAAAAGTGAACCAGCAACAGCATTGGGTTCTGTCAGCATGGGCTACCAATAATTGCAACCCAGGACTGCTCTTGAGTTTGACTGCCTCATTCCATCTGGAATCCCATTGTTTGTTTTGGCACCAGGAAGTTCAGTTCTGTGGCAGCAACTCCTACCACCAGCTCCAGGCTGCAGACAACAATAACCCTCGCTGGCCTTAAGTGCATACTGACTGCAGGGTGGGTTCTCTGGACCTTCAGACAGTAAAGGTAGTGGGTTCTCTGGGCTCACATAGTAAATTCATCTAACATTCTGTTGTGGACTGAATTGTGTCTTCAAGTTCATGTGTTAAAGCCCAAACTTCCAGTGTAGTTTTTGGAGATGGGGCCTTTGGATGAGGTGATTAAGTTCAGATGAGATCACAAGGATGGGGTCCCCACGGTGGGATTAGTGGCCTTATAGGAAGAGATCAGAACTCTGCCAGGTGGGGACAGGATGAGAAGGTCTGCAAGACAGAAGAAGAGGCCTCAGCAGGACCCAACTGTGTAGCAATGTGATCTCAGCCTTTAGCTTCCAGAACTGTGGGAAGTAAATTCCTATTGTCTAGGCTCGGCCAGTCTATGGCAGCCGGGGCTGAGTAAGACACCTTCCTCCCAAAAGCTTCTGGATTCCTTCCTTGTTACTATGCCTTTCTAAACTTTCCACTCCGTTTACTTTAGGCTGTCTTCATGGCCAAATTTTAAGGAGCCATTTCAGCAAATAATTAAGACTGGTCCCAGGTCTCCTTGCTGGAAGGTAGAATCCTAAGTCATGGGGGGTGTCATGTCAAGAGTTCCTCCTATCCAGCCTTATAGTTACCCCCTCCCTGATGATCTCAACCCAGGTGGTTGGCTCCAATTGTTGATGGCACATTGTTGTGGGTTGAATTATGTCACTGAAAGATATATTCTGTCCTAGTACAGGACCTTGATTGTAACTTAGGTTGGAGATAAGGTCTTTGTGGATATAATTGAGGTTTCAGTAAGATGAAGTTATACTGGAGTAGGAAGAGACTTAATCCATTAAGACTGATATCCCTCTGAGAAGAGAAAATATGAAGATGCAGACACGTGGGCAATCATGTGACAATGGAATGAGTTTGAGTGATGTGTCTACCAGCCATAGAATGACAGTGATTGCCAGCCAGTCCAGAAACTAAGAGGATGACCAGAACAGATTGTTTCCTCAATCCTTCATAGGGCATGACCCTGTTGACACCTTGATTTCAGACCTCTGGCCTCCAGAACGGTGGGAGAATACATTTCCATTGTTGCAAGCTCCCTGGTTTGTGGTACTTTGCCCCTAGAGAGGTAAAGGTTCCACAGTTCTTTTTTTTTTTTTTTTTTTTTTTTTTTTAGAATTTTAACATTTTTATTTATTTTTTCTTAGTTTTCGGCGGACACAACATCTTTGTTGGTATGTGGTGCTGCTGAGGATCGAACCCGGGCCGCACTCATGCTAGGCGAGGGCGGTACCGCTTGAGCCACATCCCAGCCCCAGGTCCCACAGTTCTTTAGCACATAAATCATTTCTAAGGTGTGACTGGTCATTGGCCTGGGGTAAGTGAGGTACTAGAGGCACATCTGGAGAAGAGAGAACAAGTTTTAAGATTTCAAGTTCCAAGATGGTGATGATAGAGAACTGAGCCAAATGTAGGCCCTTCATTGAGGGCTGTGCTACTGCACGGTCCATGCCCACAAAGTGGTCCTAATGGTGTTTGAAAGGTGTTTGCTTCACCTGTTCCAAGAACTGCCAAATAGAGTTTCAGACAAAGTGTTCCCCCGGCTTTTTTTTTTTTTTTTTTTGGTGGGGGCCACTGGGGATTGAACTCAGAGGCCCTCAACCTCTGAGCCCCAGCCCCAGCCCCAGCCTTGTTATGTATTTTATTTAGAGACAGGGTCTCACTGAGTTGCTTAGCACCTTGCTTTTGCTGATGCTGGCTTTGAACTTGAGATCCTGCCTTAGCCTCCCGCTGCTGGGATTACAGGTATGTGCTACTGTGCCCAGCAGAGTGCCTGTTATTTTTATTTTTATTTTTTATTTTTTTAGTTTTATTGGACACACAATGTCTTTATTTCGTTTTCATGTGATGTTAAGGATCGAACCCAGTGCCTTACAAGTGCTAGGCGAGCGCTCTGCCACTGAGCCACGACCCCAACCCACTACTGTAATTTTGATGTCATTTCTTCTAGCCTTTTCTGCTCGTATTTTTATACATGCACATATAAAATATAAGCAATTAAGTATCCCACCTGCTAGGAGCCACTGCAAAAGTATTACATTCATATGGAAATTGGACTCCTACTGTTCACCTAGGCCCATTTGGGAACTCAAGTTACAAGACAAGAGTTCCCATTGGTTGGGGAAGGATGGTAGGAGGGTGTTCCGGGGGAAGTGGAGCCCCCCGTGTCCGGTAGAGACACGGCTTGTTAGGGGGACGTGCGGACCGGCTTGTTAGGGGGACGCACACGGCCTCTCACAAAATAAAACTTTGTTTCAGTTTGACTGGCTTGTGTTTTTGTGCTCAGCCGGGTTGCAGGATCGCAAGCCGGCGTGGGTTGCAGGATCGGATCGCAAGCCGGCGTGCACTGACAGCGACCCGCGGAAGCGCCCAGCAGGAAGGCGGCAGGTGAAAACAGCAGCGGGCAGGAGCGGAGCTAAGGCTCACGCGGCCCCCGCCGTGCAGCCTGCAGCACCCACCTTCCATGTTTAAGTGCTTCTCATAAATTTGCCCACGCTCTTCCCTCCTTTATGTATCTGTCAGAATGATGGGTTGGAATGACCGCCAGCTTGAATATTCGTTGACTCCTCATGGTGTGAATAATGTCCTAAGTCCTCAACTACCAGCCCCCGCCCAAGCTCATCTGCTGCCACCCACCCTCCCCACAGCATCCAATGTCACACAACAGTAAGAGCTTGTGCAGTTCTCTAGTCTGTGCTGCCCAGCCAGGACCCTTTTGTGATCAGGATGAAGGGATCATCCTCTTTACCTGGCCATGCTCAGCCATGCTTCTGCCTCTGGGCCCACCCAGAAGCCGCCACCCCCAGATGTTTACACGGCTCGCTCCCTATGCACTTTAAGTAGTTTTTCACATGTCATCCCTGACCACTGGACCTAAAATAGCAACTGTCCCCTGCCTCCCTGGCCCTGTCTATTCCCCTCACTCTGCCTCATGTTTCTTCATAGGTATTCATCTGACCTATAATCATTTATTATCTACCCTCCTCCATGAAAGTCAGCTCCATGTGATTAGGTTTTTATTTTGTTCCTGCTCAGTGCCTAGAATAGTGCCTGGCACATGGTAGATGCTTACAAAATGTTTGAGTGATTGGATAAATGTTTTGTGTCTCTTTCTACTAAAATGCTGTGAAAGCTGCTGATAGCAAGATGGAGTCACTTATGGGGGAACTGAAGACAGAAAAATTATATTTCAAATGAAAACTTCATTAGATTGTAGCTTTGTTCATTGATCTTGAGTTATTTTCTACCTGATTGGAATAGATGATAAATTCTTCTACTTTCCCCTAATATCTAAGTCTCTCCCAGTTCTCTAAGATCATTCAATTTGTTTAGTCAGTTACCTTCAGGCTTGCGTTCATGATCTAAAAACTATTATGCAATCTGAATCATAGGATCATTATTATTACTTTGTATTATTTTAAAAACTTTGTTTCCTGACAGATTTCTTAGAAATACAAACCTGTTGCCTGTCAATTTTGGTAGAAATACAACTTCTAATAGAATAATGCTGGCCCAGCACTGAAAGATGACAGCCAGTGCCTGTGGAACAAAGTTAAACCTGTCAGTAAATTCTAGGCAGACTTAGCCGGAGAGCCACTCCCTCTAAATCTCCTTGTCATTCAAAACTGGCTAACAGCGACTTGTCTTGACATCAACATAACTATTGGTCATTTCCCCCAGCTCCATATCAGACCAACTGGGACTGGTCCATCTCAGCACTGAGGGACAATCTAAACCCAACCACAAGTTAAACTATTGGTGATGATGCTTTTGGGTACAGATCTGGATCAAAAGGGGGTAATGTGAAGGCTCTTGAAGACAATGTGGAGTCACATCAGACCCAAACTACAAACCACAGTGGAGCCAGGAGGTCATGAGAGGGGATCTCATGCTTGTGTGTCAGAGAAGAAGTATTGCGATGCCTTTCTACATATGTACCTGAGGTAAGAACTAGTGCACGGACTGTCTGACGGCATGAAACATTTCCAGATGAGCTGCTTCTGTGAAGACAGCTTCCCAGAAACCATTAGCATTGCCTGTGACTAATAACCAGCCCCTGTGGGGAGCCTTTCTGACTGATAAACTTGTTTCCAGACAGTGAGTGTCAACTTCTTGCTTTAAAGAGCTCTGCCTTGCCCTCACCTCCTTGGATATTCCTATGACCTCATTGTGCACAGATCCTACATTATAATTCCTGTTCATTCCCAGATATATTTGGGTTTCTCCAGAGAGTTTCTCTTGTTTTGAATAACAATGTAAATTCTTTGAAAGCAAGCATTGTTTTTCTTATCTCTGTATCTGTCTTGTTCAGCACAGTGCCTGGCATTTAGCAGGTACTTAATAAAAGTTTAATGATCTTGTAAAATGGCTACATGGCATTCTATTGAGTGAATGTTGTTAACCATTCTATTACTGGACAGTTAGGGCTTTGTAAAAAAAAAAACATTAAATTACAAGTAATACTGTGATACTTATTATTTTCTGTGGATCTTTCTTTTTCCTTTGTTTCTCCCCACACCCCTCCCCAGAAGAGGTCTCACTATTTTTTTCCAGACTGGTCTTGAACTCCTAAGCTCAAGCAATCCTACAAGTGCACACCTTTGCACCCAGCTTAGTTTATTTCTTTGAAACAGATTCTCAGAAGTGGAATGACTGAGTCAATAAATATGGTTTTGTTCTGGAAGAGATGTGCAGGGCAAAATATGTGGGAAGTCCCTTGTTTATAGCCTTCATCTTAAAATGTCAGCGGTAGATTATAAAAACTAAACCAAAAAAAAAAAAAACCAACTAATTAATGCGCTTTATTAGTCAGCTTGGGCTGCAGTAACAATGCCAAAAACCAGGTGGCTTCACCAGTGGAAGTTCTTCACAGCTCTGGTGTCTGCAGGTCCAAGGTCAAGATGCCAACAGGTGGCTCCTCATGAGGACTCTGCTCTTGGCTAGCAGAAGGCTCCCCTCTGTCCTCGTGGGTGGAGGTGAGGGGGGCACTGGTATTTCCTGTCTTCTAATAAGAGCACTCATGGGGATCACATAGTCGTCTCGCCAAATTACCTTCAAATACCAGCACTTTGAGTATTAGGGTTTCCACATGAATTTGGGGGTATAGAAACAGTCCGTGCCATTGACCAAGAGTAGAATTGGGAAGGAACATATAACCAGTTGTTTCTTAGGTGTTTGGTTGGCTTGAATTTGTGTTTCCCACCCTCAAAGTCATCAAAATCCCAAACCTCAGCACCTTAGAACATAACTCCATTTGGAGATAAGGTCTTTAAAGAAGTGATGAAGTTAAAGTGAGGCTGTAGAATGGACCTGGTGTCCTTTTCAGAGGAGGAAGAGACACAGGGATGCACATACACCAAGGAAGGGCCACCTGAGAACGGTGAGGAGGAGGCTATCTGTCAGCTGTCAGGAAAAACCTCAGGAGAAACGAAGCCTGCTGACACCCGAGTCTTGGAAGCGCAGCCACCCAGTCCTGGTCAACTCTGATAGCAGGTGGGGTGAGTGGCTCGTGGGCAGAGTGAGTGGGCTGCAGGCTGGCAGGAGAAGGTGACAGACTCCGCTCCCTGCAGATGCCCCCAGGCTTGTCTCCCTCTGCCTACTGGGCTGCAGAGGGCTCTCCACCAGGACCAGGACTAGCTTCTGTGGTTTTGGAACTATTTGCTGAACCCAAGTCGTGGGTAAGCTCTCTGTTAGATGATGGAGCAACACAAGCAAATAAGGCCTGGAGTGGTGCCGTTAGAGTGCTTGCTTCAGTGGGGTGTTCTGTAAGTCAGCAGATGACTACTCTCCAGCTAGAGCCAGCGTGTCAGCAAATTCAACCCAGAGTGCTTAGAAGTTACCAGTATGTATGTTGTCTTGTACTTTATTATAATTTACAAACAACTAGGTTGGGGAAATGTTTAGACTCCTAGTGTCTCTAAAACATTTTGTGTTTCAATAACTTTTATGTTTACTTTTGTTGTTGAGATGGGGTCTACCTTGTCCAGGCTGGTCTTGAACTCCTGGGCTCATGGATTCTACCACCTCAGCCTCCCAAGCAGCTGGGAATACAAATGTGCACCACTGTGCCTGGCTCTGTATTTATTTTCTGTACTAAAAGATCATT